TCACCATTATAATTATCATCAAATTATGCTGATTATATATTATATTATATATAAGCTATGTATGACATTAAAATATCGAAAAGTATATAAATTTATATAAATTTTTTTATATATCTTCCTGAATTTTAAAATATATTTCTCCATCGTCAGCTCGGTTAAAATTCCATATTTATAATGAATATAGTTATTTGAATTGGTAAATTTTAAGGATATTGATTTTAAAAGTTTACTTGAAGATATATTGAGAAAGAAAAATTTATAATATATTTTATTTTCATATATTAATTCAGAAAAATAAAAATTTCAATTTTAATTTATTAAAAAATTATAAATTTCAAACAAAATTTGAATTTAATTTTTTTCCTACTCCTGTTGAGAATTTTTAATGTAAATTATTAAATATTAAAATTAATAAGTAAATATGTTTATGTATAAGATAATTATTCTTTTATGTAAAAATTAAATTATAATTTTAGTAAATATAATTATAATTATGAAGTTTCGTACATTTTTAATTAATTATTTATTATCTTTATTATAAAATTATAATTAAAGCAATTTCATTTTTGTTTGCATAACTTCTGACAAAAACAGCATCCGCGTTACTGTTATCATGCTTTATTATCGATGAAATCATTATCATCATTATATTATGCCGAATTTCAATGTATAGTTTCATACTCTTTATGTTAAAATCAATTATGAAACTAATTAGAATTGATGTCTGTATCTTAATTAACAGAATCAACACCAGCATTACAGAATTAACGTAGTCAAACCTCTAAACAGCGGACATTGACGGAGACATTACAAAATGGCTGTCGTTTGGAAGTTATAATGTATGCTGAAAAACAAGGCCGTCATTGGGAGGTGGCCGTTTTTATAAATTCGGCTGTATTAGTTTTACTGTCAATAGAATCATCATAAATAGCATTGCCTTTGCCATTGTATTTATTCATGGCTTTCCATATACAAGTTGGCCTAAAAATCAGTTAACCGTTTATATTTTATTATTTCTTTTACATTCCAGCTCTGTCTTTACGTGGTCAGTTAACTTTTGGATAAAAATAATATATCCTTATTATCGTTATATATATATCCTTATTATTATATATATATATATCCTTATTATATATAATATCCTTATTATCGTTCACAGAACGATAATAAGGATATTATATTATTTTTAATGTAAAAATCCTACTTGCAAATACTTCTAAGATTATTCGCAAGCAGGAAATGCAGCATAATTTCAGGAATGCAGAGTTCTTTTTAAGGAAACAATACAGAGAGTTACTCTACAATTTTTGCTTTTTAGTGTGACGAATTCCATTTGGAATTGTTTCAAAATTGTAAATCTTGTAAATATTCTTTTCAAGCATCGATTTGGCAACTTATCTTCTTCTTCTTCTTCTTCTCCACTTGCCAATAATTGATCTCTTTTAGGAGTAAACTGAAGATTACTATCAGCTTTACCAATATCTATTAATTATAATAAGATAAAAGATGATAATTAAAGACAAGTGAAAATTATTTTCAAAAATATCTCATAATATAAATAAAACATAAATAACTGTTTTAATTAAGCTTAAAGATTTTAAGGAAGAAAACAGAGTATCTGGAACAGACTCGTCAATAGTGATAATAATATCCAGATAAGATGAAAAACATCAATATTAATATTACTATTATGAGAAAAGTTAACATCTTCATTTATATAATACCAATCATCAGGAGAAACAAAATCAATATTTGCATTATCATTATCATAGCTACAGCATCATTAATATTATCGTAATAAGTAGCAACAACAGCATTTGTAGTATCAACTGTAGTATCAGCAGCCAAATCATCATCTCTATATAATATCATTCTGCCCAATGTATCATCTATCCTTCAATATCATCTTATTATCACAACATTAATATCGGTGTTATCACGAACAGAGACAGAATTCGATGTTGACATCGTAAATAAGAGTAGCAGCAACAACAGAGAGCGTATCTCTATAATATTATCCCTCAAATAATATAACCCCATGTATTCATATTCAGTATTATTTTATTTTTAAAGTTACATTAATATTATCATTAATATCAATAAAACCAGACTTCAGTGATGGCATTATTTTCATCATCAAAACGTCACCGCGAGTATCATCATTATCAGAACGCAATCAAAATATCATCCTTTTCTTCCTCCTCCTCATTATCAGTGACAACAAAAGTAGCATCAACAGCATCATTATCAAAACGTCATCGCAAATCGCATTTCCAATCATCCAACACTTCAAAAATTAAAATTAAAATAAATGTAATTACATTTAAATTTTTCAAATTAAAATTTGTTAATAGAGAAACTTTATATTAATGTTATAATTATAAGGTATTATTAATATTAATTATTATAAATGTATTGCTTTGACAGATCGGAATTTTAATACTTTTTTTTATCCTGCTGGTGGAGGTGATCCTATTTTATATCAACATTTGTTTTGATTTTTTTGGGCATCCTGAGGTTTATATTTTAATTTTGCCGGGATTTGGAATGATTTCGCATATTGTTAGTCATAATATGGGAAAGAGGGAGCCTGTACTTTAAATATGTCAAATGGAAAAATGACATTAATATAATTAACGAAATTTATAAAAAAGTAATATTTCATTTAATTTGGTTTAATTTTCTTCCGAAAAACAACAGTAGACAATGATGCTCAGACATTGATAAGATAACGTATAACAGATAAACCTCGATTTAGCGCTATCGTTTCACTGAAATCGATACTAAATCGAGTTTGGAACTTAACTGAGTACTGTACAAAATAATTACATAGCTGTCTCTCGATATATCAATCCCCCGATATACCAAACAATTTTGTAGTCTTGCCGTCGTTTAGCTCAGTTCACTATACCGAGAGAACTGCAGAAGACCCTTTCACAAATATTTCCTAGTACTATATGAGGATAACGCTGTACACGACGGCAGTATATCGAGATTCAACTGTTACTTGAATTAATTTTAATTTTTCTCGCCCATTATTATTAAAATTTCGTGTATTTTTGCTTTGAATCACGAAAAACTTATTAATATTTTATAACGTTTAAAATATTCATTTTTTGGAAAATTGGAAAATTTTAAATTAAATATTAATAAGTTTAAATGTCATCAGACGTTTAAAAGTGACATTTACGAGTTCGCTCGGCGCGCTGGAGTCGCGATGGCCTCGCGCCGGCGCGCCGTGTAGTATCTGTAAAATCTACGATTATGCCTTATATTAACGCTTAAAATTAAATATTATTACATTATAATGTTAAAAATATAAAATACATATAAAACGTTGATCAGAAATTATATAATTAAGCATTTTACTAAGCAAAATGCTCGAGTCGCGCATTGGCGCGTCAAAAGTTGTTTTGAATCATCGATGCAATTACCGACAATTACTTAAAAAGCATTATTTTTTAAAATTTATTTAAATGTTATTATATTCAATTTTTAAAATTATTTTTAAAATTTACCTCCATAAACACATTTCGTTCTGAATAAAAAATGAATAAATTACGCGCTAAATGAGCGCAATGTCGCACCGTTGCGTCGCAACGGCATAAACAAAATTCGACTTATTACTAAAAATTATAGCTCAAAATTGATTTATAATATATTTAAATGTTAAAAAGGTTTTCTAATGTCAAAATTGTTTAAAAATTATAAAATTTTAGCTTTTAAATTGAATAAAAACGAACGAATCGCTCTTTTGACGCTTCGGCCCTTAGCGCATCGCGTTTTGATTTTGCATTATAAATGATATTTTTGAAGGTTAGTTATGCTTTATATGCTAACGTGTTACCTTTTATAAATTATTTTCTGTCTAATTTTTAATATTTTTCATAAAAATTTGACCTAGACGCACTAATAATGTCAGAAAACGTTAAAACGAAGGTTCTACTCTACCTCAAATAACGATTTTTCTATGAGCAAATGTAAATATTTCTTCCACAAACAAGAATCTATATTCATCACTAATTTAATAACAATTTTCCAAAGAAAATTGCCTGATATCATCATCAATTTTCCTTATTTTTCTCCATTTTCCGACCATAAAAATAATTTACTTTTTAAATAAAATAATCAATTATTAAGAAATAATTTTATGAAGGCCCATATTAATTTTAATAAATTTTAATAAAAGTTATTTAATATAAAAATATATCTTAATTAAGAGTTTAATTTTTTAAATTTCTTTTTTCTTTATTTTAAATTAAAATTTTTAATTTTTTGCTGATAAGTTCGTGTGTCTGTTCGTACATTCGAACGTTAAAAACTAATTTATTTTTTCTTAATTTTGTATATTTATGTTTATAAATTTTATAAGATAAAATTTACATGTTTTTATTTATTTTTCAATTAAAATTTCGAATTATTTTCGATACGTTCGTATGTAAGCTCGTACCTTAATTAAGAAGTAAACTTTTTTATTATTTTAAAAATGATTTTAATTGACAAATTAAACCAGGAAGAAATTTTTATTCATTTTTAAAATTTAATTAACGATATTTTTTAGGGGTACGTTTGTGTGTCCGTCCTCATCTTAAAGAATAATATCGTTTTATTTTTAATTGTTTTAATGGGAATTTTTATTAATTTTTTAGTTTAAATGTTGGATCTTTGTTTCTTTCGGTTGGTACGTTGTTCTTACTGTAACTTAAAAAATTATGTTTTGTTTTTGTTTATTTTAATTGACAAATTGAACCAGGAAAGAATTTTTATTAATTTTTTTTATGTTTTTTCGTATTTTTTCTGTTTTTTCGGGAATATACATAACAATAAACAGTAGACCTAGGATGGAACAAGTACAGAACATCTCCGCTCCTTTTGTATTGCACGTCGCTTTTTTTTAAATTTTTATGTACAACAAGATCATACAAACACCACAGTCTTTTTTGTTTTTTTTTTCTTTTTAAATTCAATTTTTTTCTAAGGTTCTTAGGAAATAGGCACTGTTTTGTTTATCTTGTAGATGTCCATCACAGAGCCTGTCACCGCATCAAGGCACAGGCCACCATTAATAACATAAAGGGATTTATGAGACTCTTTTGGCTCGGAGCTCGATTTAGAAGGTATTCACATTTACCTATACAAAATAAAAAAAATATATATATATTAATTTAAGTTAAAATAATAAAATATATATTAAAATTATAAGGTAAAAATATAATTTTAATTTGGCCTTCGTCCTCTTTTTAATTAATGAATTTTTGGTTCGGTTTATATGAATGATTAGTAGAGTTTAACAATTTTGCATTTTCTTATTGATGATTGGTTATAATATCAGCATAGCTCACGTAATTGGTCAAATTTAAAAATTCAAAATTATCTTATCGCTGATTGGTCGGAAGCGCGAGTGTGGCTAACGTAATTTGTCAAATTCAAATTTGAATTAGTAGCAACTCAAAACGAACGTATATCGTTTTAAAAGCCCCTAACTTTTGAATAATACGCAACCAAAAAATTTAATTTAAAAAAAAAATTAAACAACTATATAGAATTCCATTACATTGTATATAATTTATATTAGTATTTAATTATAATTTGAGAAAAATTGTCTAAAAATTCAATTAAATTTTCCTGTAGAAGGCTCTTTCGTGCCCTTTTGTTAAGCTTACTGTTAGTTAATGTTTAACACAATTTACCTGCTGCCGTAATGTTAAAAGTGAGGTTCCCTGTAATTCCAGGCATGATACCTCTATGGCATGTGTCATACAATGCTGATAATTTGGTAACAATTCCGTCGATTGTGTACACCTGAAAATACAATTAATTAATTCCACAGATAACAATGGACAGTTCTACATCCTAATTATCGTCAAATTGTAATTAATTCAATTACATTTTTCCGAATTTGCATTGTATGTAGGGATGAAAATGTGATACGTAAACTGTACATCTGTAGCTAGGGCCTACATTTAAGGACTCTTAATGATAGGGAAGGACTTATATAGGGTCATAATAAGTGCATATCCGGCTTGTTCCTGATGTAAAACGACTTACATCATAGTTATAACATCATATATGATAAAGTAAAGAACCACAAAATTAAATTTTGGCAATTTTTGGCTCTTTTTTTTTTGAAGCTACAAGCATCACTCTAGCAGAAGACATGGAAGTGCTAATGCTACAAGTTTTTAAATTTTAATTATATTTTCTTCATATAAAGATGAAATACGAATTATTTCCGAATTATCTCATGATCTAAATTACATAAATTAGGACCCAAGATAACTGAATATTAATATTTATCCTAGCTGCAAACATGTCTTTCAGAGGAAAAAGAATGATGTTGCTGCGTATGAAACGTAATTTTCGTGATGTAATTTTGTTGAAAAATATAATTAGCATCAATAGGAACCAAAAATATTTTAAATTGAATTAAAACTGCATCAAATTTCCTCATTTATTCCTCATAACAGTTACATTAATGCATCACAGAGTAGAAGATTACATTTAAAATTAAAAAAAAACTGAGGGCATCCTTTTAGAGAAAGAAGAGTGATGCTGCTGCGTGTGAAACATAATTTGTATGACACCAATTATATTTTTATGCGAAATTGCATAAACAGAAACCATCATTATGTAAAGTTCATTTAAAATTACATCAAATTTCCTCATTTATCCCTTTACGTCGATGCATCCTAGAAGATTACATATACAATTTTTAAAAAAATACATGGCATATATCACCGAATATTTTGATTAATAATTAAAGTTTTTTTCAATATTTTTTCACATCCAATACATGATTCCATTTCCACTTTTTTGACTTTTCATTTCAGCTAAGTGGAGCGGAACATAAAGGCTTTTGATGTCGAAGAAAACATTAAACGCATCACACCCAAAACATAGAAAGAACTATGGTCATTAGTAGAGTCGATTTAACTAGACAGAACGTAAACCCCCCTCTTAAATTCTTTCATATCTTTGAAAAAGTTTTGTCGACGATGGAATGTTCCATTTTCTTAATGTTATCACTTCACTCCATTTATTGATATTCCACCAAAAGAATGCTCTACTTCATCTTCACTATTGTTATTACTATTTTTTTTTCCTCTCCTCTTCCTCCTCTCGCTTTCTCTCCTCACTCTTACTTGTTATTAAAATTTTAAAATATATATCATATAATGACTTTAATAAAAATTCCTTTAAGCATATAACCTTACTTACAAAACAGTATTTAGTCTTGGAATTTTTAAGTCCAGCAATGAGATAAGTTTTCTCGTTCTCCTCCCACCATCCGTGGCACTGAAATGCTACAAAAAAATTACATTTAAAATAATGTTTACTCTTTATAATTGTTTATTATTATTATTTGAAAGTTTGTACTTTATGGGTGATAAATTTAAGAAAAATGACTAACTCATACGATCTTTAAATGAAGCGCATGTCGTTAAAAATTCTAAAGTATCTTTGCTTCTGCATCCCACCACGTGAGCTGTGCTACCTCTGCAATCTTCTGAACGTAAACTAACTTTTCCTGCATTTATCTTCAATCCATCAGTCTCTACTAACTGAGGGCACACGTCGTTATCGGCTAAGGGTGCTTTAAAAGAAAAACAGAAAGTAAAACAATTTTAGAAACTGAAAAATAAAACAGTTCTTTTTATACGTAACTCCTCCCCCTTCTACTCCACCTTCATTTCCTGCTTTTACTTCTACTCCTCGCCCTCTATTCTTTCCTATCAGTTTTTCCTATTCCTTCTTTCGTATTCTTATTTTACCCACTTATTCCCATTTCTGTTGTTTCATTCTTTCTCAAATTGTTTTTTATCAGCCTTCTCAAACTTATTTTTTACTGCTCCTCACCTCTATTTTTTTCTCCTCTGCTTCTCCTCTTTTCTCAAACTCCTCATTTTTATTTTGTTTTTACTTTTATCATTACTGTCATACCCTTTCTTATCTCCTCCTCATCCCACTCTTTTCTTTTCTTTATCTTTCCATTATTTCCCTCATCTCCTCCCTCATCATCCATCGCTTCTACGTTTTCTTATTTACCTTCATTCTATTTTTATTTTTTCATCTCTTCCTCATCCCATTCTCTTTCTTTTTTATCTTCCATTATATTCCTCATCTTCTCCTCATCCATCGCCCTCCTTTCTCACATATTTTCTTCATCCACCTCATCTTTTCTTATCTCCTCCTCATCCCACTCTTTTTTCTTCATTTCCTCTTCATCGCATCCCCTTTCTCTTCCTTTTTAAACTTTTTTCCCTCATCATTTCCTTCTTATCTTCATCGTCAACAGCATTCTAACTTTCTTACTTATTAATAGTCTCTAGAATATCAAATTAACCTAACAGAAACTTTCAAGATGAAGTTTTAAATAGTTTTTCATCATAATTTTATTTGTTTATTTCCTCTTTGGAAGTTTTATTTAAATTTTATTTTCTAATTCTAAAATTTAATTTTGTTTCGGAGAAAGTATATTTAATACTTTATTAATCATAGCTTGGGGGTGTTTACATCAATGTAACCTTTACTGGGAAAGAAATCCAGAATATATTTAAAATTTTACCTTTTTATCACTAAAACAGGTATTTTTAATTATTAAAAAGAAATTTTCTTATAGAAAAACAAAAATTCCCTTTTTTAAAATGATAATTAGGGAAGAGGGAAAAGGAAAAGATGATAAAATGCTGTTGAATAAAATGAGGAGGGAGAGAGAGAGAGAGAGATAGGGATGAGCTAAATCTAGAATTGAGGAGAAGATTAAGGATATAATGATAGGAAGATGAGACAAAGATGAAAAGATAACTAAGGAGAATAAGAATAGTAGAGGAAAGAAGGTATCATTATTATAGAAGAAGAAATAATAGAGAAGAGAAAGGATGAGTGAAGAAGATAACAGTGAGGAGATGAAACAGAAAAATATAGATGCAAATGAACAAAAGAGTAAGATAAATTTGGAAGATGAGAAAGAGAATTCAACAAAGAAAATGATAAAGAGGATGAGGATTTAATTATGTTCGTTGATATATTGAAGGTCTCGTCCTCATGAAATTCAATTCCATTTAAGTTTAGAAAAAATTCTTTTAGAGAATAACTTTTCACTAGTATATAGTCTATCGAAGACATTTTAAAGGATATATTCTACTTAAAGAAGATCTAGATATGGATAGATATGGAAATTATGGAAAAGTATAAATAAATCTCACATAAATAATAATTTTTTTCTATAAAGGACGATAATTCTTAAATCTAAAATCATTTATTTTGATCTGAAGCTCTAATTTAAAGAAAATTCCTCATCTGAAGAGAAAAATCCCTTTCTTCACTCAGAAAATGTAACTACTCTGAGAATATTTATTATTTTCAAAAAATACAAAATATCCCTTATTTAAAAAAAAATTCCTGATCAAAACGATTAAAATTCTTCAACTAAATAAAAAAAGTTTCTTACAAGAAAATAATTTTCCTGACGTAAGAAAAATTTCTCTAATTTCAAAGTAAAAAATTCTTTAATATAACATTTAAAAATTTTATAATTTACTTATGATTTGAATGTAGTTTTACTTATAAAGATGAGCATTATTTTTTCTTAATTTTTACGAAAAATTTACTGAAATTTTCTCAAAATTTCCCCAATAACTTTCCTGAAAATACATAAACAGCAATGTAAAGTTACTATAGGGCTCTTTAGGATAATTCAGATGTTTCGTATGTAGAAAAGATGTTGACACATAAAAAAAGCATGTTTAAAGAACGCTTGACAATACATTTTTTACTTTAAAAGAAAAATATGTACAGGAAAAAATGAAAAAAGTTCAATAAAGAATCAATATGATGACAAAATTCTTTAAGTGCATTCACGTATACAAGAACATATATATATATTTATTTATGATAACATTTGAACTGAAACAAGAATTTAATCCAGAAAATATTTATATTTTCTATTGAATTATATATTTTTCTACTTTTAAATAAAATTTACATCGAATTTTTCATTAGAATTACATAAAACTCTGACTATTTCTGACTATTTATATGCTCCAATATCTATTGATGATGATGCTGGAAAACGTAGATAAATGGTTGAAGATCTTAATTCCTCTACATCTAGACGATAAATTATTGTTAAAATCAATTAAATTCATTGTTAAATCTACAAAATTATCGTAAAATTTCTTGCTAGAGAAGGAAGAGAACGATTATTTTTTACATTGACGATCAAAATCATCGTGATACCTTAACTGTTATTTTGTGCAGAAGAGGACGAAAATATGGAAATTTCTTAAAGGTCTTTCAGCAAAAATGCATAAAAAAGAATAAAATAACGGTATTATTTACATTTAGTTGAGAAAAATAAAGAAAAAATAGAATGCAATCCGTTGAAATTCATGCAGGAATTATAGTAACGAGATGGGCATTGGAATAAGACAACCAAAAGCAGAAAACTTCAATGAGGGGATCAATAAGATTATGATTGAAAGCATTCAAACCGAGTGGAATAACAAAGCATCTTTCTCTTATTTTTCTCTTTCCCATTCCGGAAGAGATAAAAACAATAAAGAAATTTTAGCATTGCTGGAATGCATCCGAGGAGTATTCTTTAAATAAATAATTAAAATTAAATAAAATTCATCTTAAAAGCACGAAGACATGATAAAGTCAATGATAAAACGTACATTCACAAATAAATTATAATTAAATAACAAGATTTATGAGATCATCAATAAATCAGAGTATCGAGTTACTAATTTTTAACGCGATTTTAAATTAAAGATTTATCTTAAATAATTTTTCTATTGTGATTTTATGAAATTTTACAACTTTCTTTTCTTATAATTTCTAATTTTTCCCCTTTAAATCTGCAGCAAAAATAATAAATTTGTATCAAGAAATTGTGTTTCTTCAACTGTAAAAGATGAGAAAACGAAGGTAATAAATTTTATTTAAGAGGTTTTCTACTGAAGAAAATGTGTAAAAAATAAATTTGTTTTTTGAAATTTTAACTTCATTTTTAATAATTTAATAAAAAGTAAAAAGATTTTACGAGTGTTTTTAATGGTGTTCGAGTAATTAAACATTTAAAAATTGTAGTTTTAAGCATTGGATTTTTGTATAATGCATTCTTCTATAATTATAAGAGATGCGGATTAATGAAGAATTTTATAAAAATAAATAAAGAAATTAAAGTAAACTGCAACATCTTCAGCTTGGTTTTCTGCTTTTTATTGTCAGGAAGTTTTTTCCATTATTTAGTTTATCTTTATCATCAAAGGATGTCTTCACTGTTCGATGGCCTTCATTAACGATTGATGATTACCTTTACTTGTTTGCCTTTATTATGAAAGGATAATTTCCTTTATCTGTTTCCTTTACTGTTAAAGGATGATTCCTTTTTCTGATTCTTTTAACATTAAAAAATGACTTCCCTTAAAAGGTGAGGCCCGTGATTCGATTCCTTTAGTATTAAAGGATGAGAATTTTGATTTGATTCCTTTAGAATAAAAAGATGATGCCCTTGATTTGATTCTTCTTTTTACGTGTTTCTCTGATCTCTGAAGGGTGACTCTATCTGTTTATCTCTATCATCAAATTCTGATCCTCTTTACCTAAATAAATGACAATCATCATTCAATAAAGTAAAGAATAAAGAGTAAAAATCAGCAAAATTTTCATATTTTTCGACTGTAAACATTTCACGTCAACAGAACTCTCTCGTTTTTTTTCCTAACAAATAATAATAATAAAAGTAAACAAGATCCACGAAGTTACCCACATTTCTGTTGGATAAAGTTTAAGAAAAAAACGTTTTGATACAATTTATTCATTTAAAAATAAAAAGAAAAAGATAAATTTTAAAGTAGAATTTGAAAATTTTTCCATCCTTTTGAATGGTGAAAGTAAATTAACGTTATCTTTCCTAAGGAGAGATGATGATCCCCCGTTTCTAATTTTCTCTTTCTTTACAACAAGAGGAGAGAAAGATTCTTTAGAAGTGTATACCTTAATTATTCTCATAATAATCTTAACAACTTAGTGTAAAATACCTCTTATAAAATAATTTCAAAGAGAAAATTAAAGTAAAATTTAGATTAAAAAAAACTAACGTATCTCTAGGATAAACACTTACCAACTAGAGTTGTAAACTCTGCTTTACTTTTATAATAGTGCGATTGGCACGCATCTTGTAATCTTCTAGTTTTCTCTCCTTTAAAAGAACACTTAANTTATGAAGTTTCGTACATTTTTAATTAATTATTTATTATCTTTATTATAAAATTATAATTAAAGCAATTTCATTTTTGTTTGCATAACTTCTGACAAAAACAGCATCCGCGTTACTGTTATCATGCTTTATTATCGATGAAATCATTATCATCATTATATTATGCCGAATTTCAATGTATAGTTTCATACTCTTTATGTTAAAATCAATTATGAAACTAATTAGAATTGATGTCTGTATCTTAATTAACAGAATCAACACCAGCATTACAGAATTAACGTAGTCAAACATCTAAACAGCGGACATTGACGGAGACATTACAAAATGGCTGTCGTTTGGAAGTTATAATGTATGCTGAAAAACAAGGCCGTCATTGGGAGGTGGCCGTTTTTATAAATTCGGCTGTATTAGTTTTACTGTCAATAGAATCATCATAAATAGCATTGCCTTTGCCATTGTATTTATTCATGGCTTTCCATATACAAGTTGGCCTAAAAATCAGTTAACCGTTTATATTTTATTATTTCTTTTACATTCCAGCTCTGTCTTTACGTGGTCAGTTAACTTTTGGATAAAAATAATATATCCTTATTATCGTTATATATATATCCTTATTATTATATATATATATATCCTTATTATATATAATATCCTTATTATCGTTCACAGAACGATAATAAGGATATTATATTATTTTTAATGTAAAAATCCTACTTGCAAATACTTCTAAGATTATTCGCAAGCAGGAAATGCAGCATAATTTCAGGAATGCAGAGTTCTTTTTAAGGAAACAATACAGAGAGTTACTCTACAATTTTTGCTTTTTAGTGTGACGAATTCCATTTGGAATTGTTTCAAAATTGTAAATCTTGTAAATATTCTTTTCAAGCATCGATTTGGCAACTTATCTTCTTCTTCTTCTTCTTCTTCTTCTCCACTTGCCAATAATTGATCTCTTTTAGGAGTAAACTGAAGATTACTATCAGCTTTACCAATATCTATTAATTATAATAAGATAAAAGATGATAATTAAAGACAAGTGAAAATTATTTTCAAAAATATCTCATAATATAAATAAAACATAAATAACTGTTTTAATTAAGCTTAAAGATTTTAAGGAAGAAAACAGAGTATCTGGAACAGACTCGTCAATAGTGATAATAATATCCAGATAAGATGAAAAACATCAATATTAATATTACTATTATGAGAAAAGTTAACATCTTCATTTATATAATACCAATCATCAGGAGAAACAAAATCAATATTTGCATTATCATTATCATAGCTACAGCATCATTAATATTATCGTAATAAGTAGCAACAACAGCATTTGTAGTATCAACTGTAGTATCAGCAGCCAAATCATCATCTCTATATAATATCATTCTGCCCAATGTATCATCTATCCTTCAATATCATCTTATTATCACAACATTAATATCGGTGTTATCACGAACAGAGACAGAATTCGATGTTGACATCGTAAATAAGAGTAGCAGCAACAACAGAGAGCGTATCTCTATAATATTATCCCTCAAATAATATAACCCCATGTATTCATATTCAGTATTATTTTATTTTTAAAGTTACATTAATATTATCATTAATATCAATAAAACCAGACTTCAGTGATGGCATTATTTTCATCATCAAAACGTCACCGCGAGTATCATCATTATCAGAACGCAATCAAAATATCATCCTTTTCTTCCTCCTCCTCATTATCAGTGACAACAAAAGTAGCATCAACAGCATCATTATCAAAACGTCATCGCAAATCGCATTTCCAATCATCCAACACTTCAAAAATTAAAATTAAAATAAATGTAATTACATTTAAATTTTTCAAATTAAAATTTGTTAATAGAGAAACTTTATATTAATGTTATAATTATAAGGTATTATTAATATTAATTATTATAAATGTATTGCTTTGACAGATCGGAATTTTAATACTTTTTTTTATCCTGCTGGTGGAGGTGATCCTATTTTATATCAACATTTGTTTTGATTTTTTTGGGCATCCTGAGGTTTATATTTTAATTTTGCCGGGATTTGGAATGATTTCGCATATTGTTAGTCATAATATGGGAAAGAGGGAGCCTGTACTTTAAATATGTCAAATGGAAAAATGACATTAATATAATTAACGAAATTTATAAAAAAGTAATATTTCATTTAATTTGGTTTAATTTTCTTCCGAAAAACAACAGTAGACAATGATGCTCAGACATTGATAAGATAACGTATAACAGATAAACCTCGATTTAGCGCTATCGTTTCACTGAAATCGATACTAAATCGAGTTTGGAACTTAACTGAGTACTGTACAAAATAATTACATAGCTGTCTCTCGATATATCAATCCCCCGATATACCAAACAATTTTGTAGTCTTGCCGTCGTTTAGCTCAGTTCACTATACCGAGAGAACTGCAGAAGACCCTTTCACAAATATTTCCTAGTACTATATGAGGATAACGCTGTACACGACGGCAGTATATCGAGATTCAACTGTTACTTGAATTAATTTTAATTTTTCTCGCCCATTATTATTAAAATTTCGTGTATTTTTGCTTTGAATCACGAAAAACTTATTAATATTTTATAACGTTTAAAATATTCATTTTTTGGAAAATTGGAAAATTTTAAATTAAATATTAATAAGTTTAAATGTCATCAGACGTTTAAAAGTGACATTTACGAGTTCGCTCGGCGCGCTGGAGTCGCGATGGCCTCGCGCCGGCGCGCCGTGTAGTATCTGTAAAATCTACGATTATGCCTTATATTAACGCTTAAAATTAAATATTATTACATTATAATGTTAAAAATATAAAATACATATAAAACGTTGATCAGAAATTATATAATTAAGCATTTTACTAAGCAAAATGCTCGAGTCGCGCATTGGCGCGTCAAAAGTTGTTTTGAATCATCGATGCAATTACCGACAATTACTTAAAAAGCATTATTTTTTAAAATTTATTTAAATGTTATTATATTCAATTTTTAAAATTATTTTTAAAATTTACCTCCATAAACACATTTCGTTCTGAATAAAAAATGAATAAATTACGCGCTAAATGAGCGCAATGTCGCACCGTTGCGTCGCAACGGCATAAACAAAATTCGACTTATTACTAAAAATTATAGCTCAAAATTGATTTATAATATATTTAAATGTTAAAAAGGTTTTCTAATGTCAAAATTGTTTAAAAATTATAAAATTTTAGCTTTTAAATTGAATAAAAACGAACGAATCGCTCTTTTGACGCTTCGGCCCTTAGCGCATCGCGTTTTGATTTTGCATTATAAATGATATTTTTGAAGGTTAGTTATGCTTTATATGCTAACGTGTTACCTTTTATAAATTATTTTCTGTCTAATTTTTAATATTTTTCATAAAAATTTGACCTAGACGCACTAATAATGTCAGAAAACGTTAAAACGAAGGTTCTACTCTACCTCAAATAACGATTTTTCTATGAGCAAATGTAAATATTTCTTCCACAAACAAGAATCTATATTCATCACTAATTTAATAACAATTTTCCAAAGAAAATTGCCTGATATCATCATCAATTTTCCTTATTTTTCTCCATTTTCCGACCATAAAAATAATTTACTTTTTAAATAAAATAATCAATTATTAAGAAATAATTTTATGAAGGCCCATATTAATTTTAATAAATTTTAATAAAAGTTATTTAATATAAAAATATATCTTAATTAAGAGTTTAATTTTTTAAATTTCTTTTTTCTTTATTTTAAATTAAAATTTTTAATTTTTTGCTGATAAGTTCGTGTGTCTGTTCGTACATTCGAACGTTAAAAACTAATTTATTTTTTCTTAATTTTGTATATTTATGTTTATAAATTTTATAAGATAAAATTTACATGTTTTTATTTATTTTTCAATTAAAATTTCGAATTATTTTCGATACGTTCGTATGTAAGCTCGTACCTTAATTAAGAAGTAAACTTTTTTATTATTTTAAAAATGATTTTAATTGACAAATTAAACCAGGAAGAAATTTTTATTCATTTTTAAAATTTAATTAACGATATTTTTTAGGGGTACGTTTGTGTGTCCGTCCTCATCTTAAAGAATAATATCGTTTTATTTTTAATTGTTTTAATGGGAATTTTTATTAATTTTTTAGTTTAAATGTTGGATCTTTGTTTCTTTCGGTTGGTACGTTGTTCTTACTGTAACTTAAAAAATTATGTTTTGTTTTTGTTTATTTTAATTGACAAATTGAACCAGGAAAGAATTTTTATTAATTTTTTTTATGTTTTTTCGTATTTTTTCTGTTTTTTCGGGAATATACATAACAATAAACAGTAGACCTAGGATGGAACAAGTACAGAACATCTCCGCTCCTTTTGTATTGCACGTCGCTTTTTTTTAAATTTTTATGTACAACAAGATCATACAAACACCACAGTCTTTTTTGTTTTTTTTTTCTTTTTAAATTCAATTTTTTTCTAAGGTTCTTAGGAAATAGGCACTGTTTTGTTTATCTTGTAGATGTCCATCACAGAGCCTGTCACCGCATCAAGGCACAGGCCACCATTAATAACATAAAGGGATTTATGAGACTCTTTTGGCTCGGAGCTCGATTTAGAAGGTATTCACATTTACCTATACAAAATAAAAAAAATATATATATATTAATTTAAGTTAAAATAATAAAATATATATTAAAATTATAAGGTAAAAATATAATTTTAATTTGGCCTTCGTCCTCTTTTTAATTAATGAATTTTTGGTTCGGTTTATATGAATGATTAGTAGAGTTTAACAATTTTGCATTTTCTTATTGATGATTGGTTATAATATCAGCATAGCTCACGTAATTGGTCAAATTTAAAAATTCAAAATTATCTTATCGCTGATTGGTCGGAAGCGCGAGTGTGGCTAACGTAATTTGTCAAATTCAAATTTGAATTAGTAGCAACTCAAAACGAACGTATATCGTTTTAAAAGCCCCTAACTTTTGAATAATACGCAACCAAAAAATTTAATTTAAAAAAAAAATTAAACAACTATATAGAATTCCATTACATTGTATATAATTTATATTAGTATTTAATTATAATTTGAGAAAAATTGTCTAAAAATTCAATTAAATTTTCCTGTAGAAGGCTTTTTCGTGCCCTTTTGTTAAGCTTACTGTTAGTTAATGTTTAACACAATTTACCTGCTGCCGTAATGTTAAAAGTGAGGTTCCCTGTAATTCCAGGCATGATACCTCTATGGCATGTGTCATACAATGCTGATAATTTGGTAACAATTCCGTCGATTGTGTACACCTGAAAATACAATTAATTAATTCCACAGATAACAATGGACAGTTCTACATCCTAATTATCGTCAAATTGTAATTAATTCAATTACATTTTTCCGAATTTGCATTGTATGTAGGGATGAAAATGTGATACGTAAACTGTACATCTGTAGCTAGGGCCTACATTTAAGGACTCTTAATGATAGGGAAGGACTTATATAGGGTCATAATAAGTGCATATCCGGCTTGTTCCTGATGTAAAACGACTTACATCATAGTTATAACATCATATATGATAAAGTAAAGAACCACAAAATTAAATTTTGGCAATTTTTGGCTCTTTTTTTTTTGAAGCTACAAGCATCACTCTAGCAGAAGACATGGAAGTGCTAATGCTACAAGTTTTTAAATTTTAATTATATTTTCTTCATATAAAGATGAAATACGAATTATTTCCGAATTATCTCATGATCTAAATTACATAAATTAGGACCCAAGATAACTGAATATTAATATTTATCCTAGCTGCAAACATGTCTTTCAGAGGAAAAAGAATGATGTTGCTGCGTATGAAACGTAATTTTCGTGATGTAATTTTGTTGAAAAATATAATTAGCATCAATAGGAACCAAAAATATTTTAAATTGAATTAAAACTGCATCAAATTTCCTCATTTATTCCTCATAACAGTTACATTAATGCATCACAGAGTAGAAGATTACATTTAAAATTAAAAAAAAACTGAGGGCATCCTTTTAGAGAAAGAAGAGTGATGCTGCTGCGTGTGAAACATAATTTGTATGACACCAATTATATTTTTATGCGAAATTGCATAAACAGAAACCATCATTATGTAAAGTTCATTTAAAATTACATCAAATTTCCTCATTTATCCCTTTACGTCGATGCATCCTAGAAGATTACATATACAATTTTTAAAAAAATACATGGCATATATCACCGAATATTTTGATTAATAATTAAAGTTTTTTTCAATATTTTTTCACATCCAATACATGATTCCATTTCCACTTTTTTGACTTTTCATTTCAGCTAAGTGGAGCGGAACATAAAGGCTTTTGATGTCGAAGAAAACATTAAACGCATCACACCCAAAACATAGAAAGAACTATGGTCATTAGTAGAGTCGATTTAACTAGACAGAACGTAAACCCCCCTCTTAAATTCTTTCATATCTTTGAAAAAGTTTTGTCGACGATGGAATGTTCCATTTTCTTAATGTTATCACTTCACTCCATTTATTGATATTCCACCAAAAGAATGCTCTACTTCATCTTCACTATTGTTATTACTATTTTTTTTTCCTCTCCTCTTCCTCCTCTCGCTTTCTCTCCTCACTCTTACTTGTTATTAAAATTTTAAAATATATATCATATAATGACTTTAATAAAAATTCCTTTAAGCATATAACCTTACTTACAAAACAGTATTTAGTCTTGGAATTTTTAAGTCCAGCAATGAGATAAGTTTTCTCGTTCTCCTCCCACCATCCGTGGCACTGAAATGCTACAAAAAAATTACATTTAAAATAATGTTTACTCTTTATAATTGTTTATTATTATTATTTGAAAGTTTGTACTTTATGGGTGATAAATTTAAGAAAAATGACTAACTCATACGATCTTTAAATGAAGCGCATGTCGTTAAAAATTCTAAAGTATCTTTGCTTCTGCATCCCACCACGTGAGCTGTGCTACCTCTGCAATCTTCTGAACGTAAACTAACTTTTCCTGCATTTATCTTCAATCCATCAGTCTCTACTAACTGAGGGCACACGTCGTTATCGGCTAAGGGTGCTTTAAAAGAAAAACAGAAAGTAAAACAATTTTAGAAACTGAAAAATAAAACAGTTCTTTTTATACGTAACTCCTCCCCCTTCTACTCCACCTTCATTTCCTGCTTTTACTTCTACTCCTCGCCCTCTATTCTTTCCTATCAGTTTTTCCTATTCCTTCTTTCGTATTCTTATTTTACCCACTTATTCCCATTTCTGTTGTTTCATTCTTTCTCAAATTGTTTTTTATCAGCCTTCTCAAACTTATTTTTTACTGCTCCTCACCTCTATTTTTTTCTCCTCTGCTTCTCCTCTTTTCTCAAACTCCTCATTTTTATTTTGTTTTTACTTTTATCATTACTGTCATACCCTTTCTTATCTCCTCCTCATCCCACTCTTTTCTTTTCTTTATCTTTCCATTATTTCCCTCATCTCCTCCCTCATCATCCATCGCTTCTACGTTTTCTTATTTACCTTCATTCTATTTTTATTTTTTCATCTCTTCCTCATCCCATTCTCTTTCTTTTTTATCTTCCATTATATTCCTCATCTTCTCCTCATCCATCGCCCTCCTTTCTCACATATTTTCTTCATCCACCTCATCTTTTCTTATCTCCTCCTCATCCCACTCTTTTTTCTTCATTTCCTCTTCATCGCATCCCCTTTCTCTTCCTTTTTAAACTTTTTTCCCTCATCATTTCCTTCTTATCTTCATCGTCAACAGCATTCTAACTTTCTTACTTATTAATAGTCTCTAGAATATCAAATTAACCTAACAGAAACTTTCAAGATGAAGTTTTAAATAGTTTTTCATCATAATTTTATTTGTTTATTTCCTCTTTGGAAGTTTTATTTAAATTTTATTTTCTAATTCTAAAATTTAATTTTGTTTCGGAGAAAGTATATTTAATACTTTATTAATCATAGCTTGGGGGTGTTTACATCAATGTAACCTTTACTGGGAAAGAAATCCAGAATATATTTAAAATTTTACCTTTTTATCACTAAAACAGGTATTTTTAATTATTAAAAAGAAATTTTCTTATAGAAAAACAAAAATTCCCTTTTTTAAAATGATAATTAGGGAAGAGGGAAAAGGAAAAGATGATAAAATGCTGTTGAATAAAATGAGGAGGGAGAGAGAGAGAGAGAGATAGGGATGAGCTAAATCTAGAATTGAGGAGAAGATTAAGGATATAATGATAGGAAGATGAGACAAAGATGAAAAGATAACTAAGGAGAATAAGAATAGTAGAGGAAAGAAGGTATCATTATTATAGAAGAAGAAATAATAGAGAAGAGAAAGGATGAGTGAAGAAGATAACAGTGAGGAGATGAAACAGAAAAATATAGATGCAAATGAACAAAAGAGTAAGATAAATTTGGAAGATGAGAAAGAGAATTCAACAAAGAAAATGATAAAGAGGATGAGGATTTAATTATGTTCGTTGATATATTGAAGGTCTCGTCCTCATGAAATTCAATTCCATTTAAGTTTAGAAAAAATTCTTTTAGAGAATAACTTTTCACTAGTATATAGTCTATCGAAGACATTTTAAAGGATATATTCTACTTAAAGAAGATCTAGATATGGATAGATATGGAAATTATGGAAAAGTATAAATAAATCTCACATAAATAATAATTTTTTTCTATAAAGGACGATAATTCTTAAATCTAAAATCATTTATTTTGATCTGAAGCTCTAATTTAAAGAAAATTCCTCATCTGAAGAGAAAAATCCCTTTCTTCACTCAGAAAATGTAACTACTCTGAGAATATTTATTATTTTCAAAAAATACAAAATATCCCTTATTTAAAAAAAAATTCCTGATCAAAACGATTAAAATTCTTCAACTAAATAAAAAAAGTTTCTTACAAGAAAATAATTTTCCTGACGTAAGAAAAATTTCTCTAATTTCAAAGTAAAAAATTCTTTAATATAACATTTAAAAATTTTATAATTTACTTATGATTTGAATGTAGTTTTACTTATAAAGATGAGCATTATTTTTTCTTAATTTTTACGAAAAATTTACTGAAATTTTCTCAAAATTTCCCCAATAACTTTCCTGAAAATACATAAACAGCAATGTAAAGTTACTATAGGGCTCTTTAGGATAATTCAGATGTTTCGTATGTAGAAAAGATGTTGACACATAAAAAAAGCATGTTTAAAGAACGCTTGACAATACATTTTTTACTTTAAAAGAAAAATATGTACAGGAAAAAATGAAAAAAGTTCAATAAAGAATCAATATGATGACAAAATTCTTTAAGTGCATTCACGTATACAAGAACATATATATATATTTATTTATGATAACATTTGAACTGAAACAAGAATTTAATCCAGAAAATATTTATATTTTCTATTGAATTATATATTTTTCTACTTTTAAATAAAATTTACATCGAATTTTTCATTAGAATTACATAAAACTCTGACTATTTCTGACTATTTATATGCTCCAATATCTATTGATGATGATGCTGGAAAACGTAGATAAATGGTTGAAGATCTTAATTCCTCTACATCTAGACGATAAATTATTGTTAAAATCAATTAAATTCATTGTTAAATCTACAAAATTATCGTAAAATTTCTTGCTAGAGAAGGAAGAGAACGATTATTTTTTACATTGACGATCAAAATCATCGTGATACCTTAACTGTTATTTTGTGCAGAAGAGGACGAAAATATGGAAATTTCTTAAAGGTCTTTCAGCAAAAATGCATAAAAAAGAATAAAATAACGGTATTATTTACATTTAGTTGAGAAAAATAAAGAAAAAATAGAATGCAATCCGTTGAAATTCATGCAGGAATTATAGTAACGAGATGGGCATTGGAATAAGACAACCAAAAGCAGAAAACTTCAATGAGGGGATCAATAAGATTATGATTGAAAGCATTCAAACCGAGTGGAATAACAAAGCATCTTTCTCTTATTTTTCTCTTTCCCATTCCGGAAGAGATAAAAACAATAAAGAAATTTTAGCATTGCTGGAATGCATCCGAGGAGTATTCTTTAAATAAATAATTAAAATTAAATAAAATTCATCTTAAAAGCACGAAGACATGATAAAGTCAATGATAAAACGTACATTCACAAATAAATTATAATTAAATAACAAGATTTATGAGATCATCAATAAATCAGAGTATCGAGTTACTAATTTTTAACGCGATTTTAAATTAAAGATTTATCTTAAATAATTTTTCTATTGTGATTTTATGAAATTTTACAACTTTCTTTTCTTATAATTTCTAATTTTTCCCCTTTAAATCTGCAGCAAAAATAATAAATTTGTATCAAGAAATTGTGTTTCTTCAACTGTAAAAGATGAGAAAACGAAGGTAATAAATTTTATTTAAGAGGTTTTCTACTGAAGAAAATGTGTAAAAAATAAATTTGTTTTTTGAAATTTTAACTTCATTTTTAATAATTTAATAAAAAGTAAAAAGATTTTACGAGTGTTTTTAATGGTGTTCGAGTAATTAAACATTTAAAAATTGTAGTTTTAAGCATTGGATTTTTGTATAATGCATTCTTCTATAATTATAAGAGATGCGGATTAATGAAGAATTTTATAAAAATAAATAAAGAAATTAAAGTAAACTGCAACATCTTCAGCTTGGTTTTCTGCTTTTTATTGTCAGGAAGTTTTTTCCATTATTTAGTTTATCTTTATCATCAAAGGATGTCTTCACTGTTCGATGGCCTTCATTAACGATTGATGATTACCTTTACTTGTTTGCCTTTATTATGAAAGGATAATTTCCTTTATCTGTTTCCTTTACTGTTAAAGGATGATTCCTTTTTCTGATTCTTTTAACATTAAAAAATGACTTCCCTTAAAAGGTGAGGCCCGTGATTCGATTCCTTTAGTATTAAAGGATGAGAATTTTGATTTGATTCCTTTAGAATAAAAAGATGATGCCCTTGATTTGATTCTTCTTTTTACGTGTTTCTCTGATCTCTGAAGGGTGACTCTATCTGTTTATCTCTATCATCAAATTCTGATCCTCTTTACCTAAATAAATGACAATCATCATTCAATAAAGTAAAGAATAAAGAGTAAAAATCAGCAAAATTTTCATATTTTTCGACTGTAAACATTTCACGTCAACAGAACTCTCTCGTTTTTTTTCCTAACAAATAATAATAATAAAAGTAAACAAGATCCACGAAGTTACCCACATTTCTGTTGGATAAAGTTTAAGAAAAAAACGTTTTGATACAATTTATTCATTTAAAAATAAAAAGAAAAAGATAAATTTTAAAGTAGAATTTGAAAATTTTTCCATCCTTTTGAATGGTGAAAGTAAATTAACGTTATCTTTCCTAAGGAGAGATGATGATCCCCCGTTTCTAATTTTCTCTTTCTTTACAACAAGAGGAGAGAAAGATTCTTTAGAAGTGTATACCTTAATTATTCTCATAATAATCTTAACAACTTAGTGTAAAATACCTCTTATAAAATAATTTCAAAGAGAAAATTAAAGTAAAATTTAGATTAAAAAAAACTAACGTATCTCTAGGATAAACACTTACCAACTAGAGTTGTAAACTCTGCTTTACTTTTATAATAGTGCGATTGGCACGCATCTTGTAATCTTCTAGTTTTCTCTCCTTTAAAAGAACACTTAAAACTTTTAAAATTTAATTAAAATATTATATTTTTGCTAATTATATCATTTTAATTTAATTATTATTAAAGAAATCTTTCCTCTAACATCTCGAGTTTAATTGATAAGAAAAATGAGCTCTTATTAATTAAACTCGATCGCCTTGCACTCTAGAAAGAGAGCAACGAATTTTATATTTTTCTAAAGATTAAATTTAAAGTTTATTCCAGATTTTTATATAAACTTTTACCTGTTTCCAGTTCAACAATGTTTGCATCTCTTTGATAGAAAACCAGGCACATATATCCATTGGAACTGGAAGTAAATAATTTTATATGGATGTAATTTCCATAAATTTGTGTAGAATATATTGAAAAGTATAAATACAGCGTTAGGAATTGCTGCATAAAGTATATTTATGTATAGTACAGAACTCACAAATACTTTCTTCTTACCCAGATAAACTCATTCTATCAGCATCTATCTTCTCCGGAAGATGCTGTTTCTCTTATCCTAATTACACTATTACTCTCATCCTGGTCAGTTTACTACTTACCCTGATTACACTTGTTATTTTATTCTAATTATATAACTATATTTATCCTGATCAAAAATATAAATTTATCATAAATGATAGTACTATTTATCCACTAACCTCCTAGACTAACTTATGTACAAACCTCCATATGATACCTTAATCTTTCTAATTATATCTTGTAGTTAGCCTGCAGATAATGTTACATTTTACCTTTACCATCCTCTGCTCTTGCTTATCTTGCACTTCCTGTTGTCTAATTTAGAAGAGCAATCCCTATTCTTACTTAATCTTTCAGTTCTTGCTTACTCCCATTTTACAATTCCCACTCTTAATTAATCTTGTAGTCCCTACTCTTGCCTACTTTGCAATTTCTGCTCCTATATTCTTGTGCTTCCTATGAGATTAGTAGAATAGGAATTTAATCTTGATCTTGCCCATTCTTTCTACTCATAAATTCTTGCTTTCTGTTCTTACTTAGAGTAAAAAAGATTAATTGAAAGACTAGAAAGTGCAAGTTAAGTGCTCTTCCTACTCATGCAACTCCTATTTTCATCAAACTTACAAGAGCAGTCTTTTTGTACTTATTGTTACTTCTCTCTTTTGCTATTTCACTTTTTACTTACACCCATTTTACAATTTCTAATATTGATTAACCTTATCTTCATTCCTATTTTTGCTAATCTCCCTACCCTTAAGCTTCTACTTTCTACACTTTGTAATTCTACTCCTACATTCTTTTATTTTCTATACAAATAAAACAGAAGAAAGTAAAAGTAGGAATTTAATCATTCAACTCATAAGCTTTTACTTTCTCTTCTTAGTTAGAGAAGAGTAGGAAGAGCAAGATAAATTTTGTACTTCTTAACTCATTATGTATTTCCTACTCTCTCCTAATCCTCAACCTTTAATTCTTTATGCTATACGCTTAAAAAATCTCTTCAAAATTATAATTTCTTATAAAATTTATCCGATTTTTCATAATTTAACCTATAAAATCACATAAAATAATTCTTGATATACACAGTATGTCCATTCTCCAAACATAATTTCCGCTACAAACCGTTAAAAGAATTGGAAAAAATCAATTAAATAAGGATATTAATTTACATAAATTGCATCTGTTTTAGCTACAAATATCTGTGATTTCAATAGACACGCGAACGATTTCCATTTTTTTTTTTTTTTGTTTTTTTTCTGTTTCAGAAAAAAAATCTCCATCACTATCAATTATCAGAATTACACGCAATGGTGCATTGGGTGGAGCATTATTCAGAACATATGTCAAAGTCCACTCAACAGATATGTATATAAATATGTAGTGTACAGTGTATACACAGAATTGTAAACTATAGATTTTAACAAAAAAATCTCTCTTCTTAACATGCAGATTAGTTGTAGATATGTTAATCACCTTCCTGGAACATAATTCATTAATTCTTCTCGTGTTTTTAACCTTTTTTAAATATTTTAATGTTATAAAATTTTAAAATTTATAAATTTAAACGATTAAAATTCCGCTTTAATTACAGTTTTTAGTAGTTTATCAATATTTTACGAAGGTTTCTTATATTTGCAACAAATAAAAACATCAGAGCAATTCGTTTATTATCCCCACGTTTTCGGTATTTTTAAAAAAATTTTAGCTTTATAAAATTATAAAATTTGTAAATTGGTCACTACAAGTTTTATACTTATAAATAAATAAACACTGTTTCCCTATAATTCTTGACGTTTTTTGTTATAAAATCGCAGGTTTCTATATATTTTCGTGTATAAAATTTTTATAAATTCTATACTAACAATGAAAATCATGAAAACTTAATTCAATATAAAATTTGAAGATATTTTGGACATTTTTATACATTTTAATAATAAAATTTAATAGCAATAAATTGTTTTTTTTTATCGATTTTTATAAATTTATAAGGAAGATTCTCCAACTTTATACGTTCAGTTTATAGATTTTAGAGACTGCAATGATAACTCAGCTTGAACTTCGTGATAATTATCGTTGTTTATGGCGTTTCCCATTTGTTAATTAGTGAGAAATTCAAATTTTAAGCCTATTGTAGGCCAGAAACTGCACTTAAGTATTCATGTGTGATGATGTAGACGATTCTCTACACAAATTCTGAAGATAAACTCGTATAGAATTCCAAATCTATAAGTTTAAACAGGTCAGGGAATGGAAAATATATCGAAAATGATTGATAGTTTACTCTCAGATCGTACTTCAATTTTCCATCTAGGGATATTGTTGACAATAGAATTTTTCGTGTCCATCTGTTGACCATCACCTGGAAAAAATAGATGAATTTCACTTCTTCTCATTCCTTTCATTTCTATAAGTTCAACAGAAATTCCATTATTTGCTTTCAGAAATGATTTATAAACCTTCCTTCTATGTAGGACCATAAATACTTAATTATTATATTTAAAATATTTACCAAAAAAAGTATAGGAAAAAACCTCATCAACTGAAGTAGAAAACAGAATTTGTAGCAATCTTCTAGGAGCCAGCATGTTTTATAGAAGATTATAGAAGGCAGAATCCAGTTATATATTAAGAGCTGATGCGGATTTTATGAGTTTTATCCGCTCTTATCGCATGATAAACAGGAGCAGGAGGTTATCCTTTATTAAAATATGACATAGCATCAATCTGGAAGAGGGATAAGCTGGAACAGGATAAGAGGAAAATAGAAATCGCAGCATATGATGCTGCAGAGTATTATAATTAAGATTATTTTGAAACTGAGCTCGGAATTAATTAGTTCTTAACGTGATTTTTGGGGGTTTATGAGAGAAAATTATAGATTTAATTACTTAAAACGTAAAAATCAAGCGAACAGATTCTTGTAATCCTAATTTTCTGCAGGATTTTCGTGCTAGATTCATATAAAATCACTATAAAATGGTTAATTACTTTATGTTTTTAAGTAAATTATAAGATATTGTAATATTTATATTTTAAAATGCAAGAACTTCCTAAAATATCTGAAAAAATACTGTAAAAATCTCAAGGAATATGTCTTATAAAACCACAAAATTTATAACATTTACAGCATTGTACAACAAAGAAAAAACGATTTTTCGAGTAGAAAAATACAATAAATACTTCAAAAAAACATTTCTAACATTAAAACAACTAGAAGATACAAAAAATATATAATAAAATTATTTAAAAAAATTCATTTAAAAACCGAATTTTGACCTAAATATTGCAATTAGCAAGTAAATTAACGAGAAATTTAGAAAATTTAAACAGAAAAACTGCACTAATTAATGCAGAAAAACCAGGAAAAAAGAAGAAAATTTAACAAAATTAAAGCGAAAAACCTAAAAAAAAGATGTAGAATGATGCGACGAATCAAAGAAAATAAGAAAATTATAGAAGAGAGGAAGGAAAATTCGTGAAAAAAATCATTTTTCTATATTTTTAGAAACAAATAAAAGTATAAAGAAGGTGATAAAAGATGATTATGATATCAAAATATCCTCATCTTTGACATATGAAGTCTAGAATCGAATTTGACAGATGGCGAGTGAAAATGTATAATAAAAAAAGAAAACAAAGAATGAACACGATTGTCGCCTCGGAATGATGCTAAAAAAAGGTATTTTGGATGAGAAATGATGTTAATAAACAAGTAAAGATGTTGATTTTATTAAATTACAACATTTCCAGATGGTAAAATGCGATAATTACGTATAAAGATGCGAGAGGAGAGTCGATAACTCTCCATCCTCCATCATAGAGTAGCGTAACATACCTATATAAACCATCGATTTTTATCCAATTTCTTATCGATACAACATCATCTGTAAGCTAGAAACGTAGATATATATACTATATTTAAGTAGAAACATCGATATTTAAGGGAAAAAGAAAATTTACTATAGGTTAGAACGAATAAATTGAAAAACATGTAAATCGATTTTTGTAGTCATTAAATGGTAAAGAATGTAAAGCGCAGATTGCTTTAGAGTTAGAGGACAAAAAAATAAGATAAATCAATAAAAAAGAATGCAAAACAACAGTGAGTAATGACATTGATGCTAGATAAATGATAGGAAATAATTGGAGTTCAGAAAAAAATAATAACAAAAAATAATGTATATATGAAGGTAGACATCTGTAGTTGATAGCTGCCTGTATCAGGTGGATCAGGTGGATAAGGATGAAGAAATTTAATCCTTATGCATAAGTGGATGCGTTAGAAGAAATTTCGTTAAGTTAAATCCGTTCTGAAGATGCGGATGTTGTAGGAATTGTGATCTTCACGAATGTACAGTAACAGTACAAGTGAGCAAATTTGTAGTTTTTTATGAAAATACTGTGCTTCTCACTTGATTATACGATGAAAAACTGTATAAATATTGTATATATTCGAGTTTGTATTAGATTTTACAACAAATGTTTGAATACTTTTTGAATATTTGATTTATTTTTTTCAGGATAAATACGATTATTTTTGTGATAATCCCGCTTTTATATTGTCCATAATTACACAGTTAACGATATTATCTCTTGTATCGCTGTACGATTCTCTTTGAAGCAGAGTAAAATGTATTTTTAATGTATTTTTCTTTAATAGATTTGCATTTTATATGTATTTATCAGTGTAAAAGTACTTGTTTCTCTTTAGATTTACAGGAAATCTCCATAAGATTTTAAGGATAGTTTGAACCTTAACCTTTCTACATCAAAGAAAATTAAGTATAAAATTTAATTTTTCAAATTATCCTTTTTTCTTAGAATTTCCGCCATTTATCA